TTTCATTTCACCCTTAATTTAATTTGTGAAAAATAGTATTTTCGTTGTTGACCAGTCGATCTAAAATCTGGAAGTACTGAATTATATTAGAGCTCTACGTTCAAATTTACTCATTTTGCTTTCATTCTTTACGTTAATGCAATTCCTAAAGATTCATGGAAGCAATCGGCTCCTTTTTACACCTATACATTCGAATACACCTCAACTAAGCAGACATATGTTAAATTATTTTCGTTAATGATTACAAGCAATTTTACAAAATAGGTAGAAAAAAGTCATTTGAAATAATATGTATTACTAATATCGACTGAGTGTAGAAATTGAAAGAAATTTAAAAAACCTCTTGTCATATGAGGAGTGTCTCTGATTTTGGTAGATTACCAGGAACACGAAAAAACCCAAAAACAATGAAACAGTTTCCATTTTCATTGAGGAATGAAACTATTTTACTGTCTTATTCTGTATATTTCTATACGTGCGTGCCAACTAAATTCTCACTGAATTTGCCACTGCTTTCAACAGAGCTGATGGCATGCGACAGAAAGGTTCTGTGAAAGAGGCCGCTCATCAATAAATATTTGCTAACCACGTTTGCGTTTTGAAACAGCAATATTTTTAATATTCTTGGTATGTAAAAACCTGTCGTACTATGTATCCTTGTGTACTTAACTCCGTAATTGCAATATTCGGGTAGTTTGTTTCTGTTCAAATATTTGATTTATTGTAGAGTTATTCGAGAGTATTATATTTGTCGTTTTCAGCAGCATGCTACGTGAGCATGCTATTTTTGCCGGAAAAACCACGTGCATCAAAAAACGTTTAGTTCATCAGCTGCTTTGTTTCTGTAAGCCACTATTTTATTCTTATTTGTGGTTCTACAGATTAGGCAATAGACCTTTAGACTGATTGAGGTGTTAAGAGCATCTGAGATGCGACTTGACACGTGAACTGAATGCATCTGAAATGTAACTTTTAACACCCACCTCATATGACCTTTCTGCCAAAATAAGGCGGAGTAGGTCGAAGAGCTAAGGCGGGGAGGGGGGGGGTAGTCCAGAGAGAATTAAGAAGGCTCGCCAGGTGCGCACAAACTTTCTCTTAAGGAAGTGAATGATGTCTCTGCCCTTCCTTGTATCACGTTGTACTGTTATTCTTCCAACATAGAACTCTCTTTCGGTGGACATTTCCGTCTGATTCGTCATTGCTGTGCGTATTTCCTGGTCGAGTTCTTTCCTTGGTTTTTCGTTTCCCCATTAGCGTCATTTCTTCGATGCCACAATTCTTCGCATTCGTTAATAAATAACAGAGAGAGATGGTGCCGGATATGAGATATACGAAAATCATAATTAACACCAAGAGATAATTATTTTACTCTTCAAAATTTCACAAATCGATAAGTGAAAAGTTAGTTTATTAAACATTTTCACTTCTCCAGTGGTATTTAATATATCTGTACGTTTATAAACTTTTCATTTAAGGATATTGTTTTTGCCGACCATCACTGCGGCTACTTTTATTGTTACACATTCAATTTATATCTACCTCTTGGTCTACGATGGAAAGCGAGGTGGGGCTGGGCAGAGTGAGAAGGGATTGGGTGGCGCTGGGTTTTATCTAGATACTTTTACTTCGTATATGGGACCTAACGTTTTTCATGACTTACTATGTTTTATGTCTCTCTTGAGGTTTTCTTTTTACTTACTCGTACACGGGGTTTATTTCTCTCTTTTGTAACTTTATCAAAACCAGAAATTGTATATTGTGTAGAGAAAGTAATGTAATAATGCAGAAAATTGATTTCGAGATTTGAAAGGAAGTAAAGGTTTTGGAATTCCCTAATAACGAAAAAGTGTTTCTTTCTTCATAACCTCCTTCCGTATAGCTCTGAATAACACAATCGTCTAAACCATTCTTAGGATAAATATTCTCGAATCAATCTGAACAGATTCTAGACTCTACGAAATTCATTGAAGTTCTTTGAAATTTGGTGGTATATGAATACCCTGGGATATTTTCTATTTGTTTTTCAAAAATGGCTTCAAAATATTCTTGTAATTTCTTTCCTGAAATAAAAAAATGTCTAAATTAATCTAATTTTCACATTCTTATAATGCAAAATGCTGGTTGTAACTTGTCTTTACTTTTCATGCGTATTACATTGCCGCGATTTCAAATTCTAATCAAACTTTTTGGTGTGAAAAGAAACCTCGGGGAATCCGAACGGACTTTGATTGCTCTCTATTGTATCTTTATCAAGACCAATCACAGCTGCTCAATCTTGAATTGTTTCTTTAAAAAGCTCTTCAAATGGACAGATTGGTTATTCTCATAAAATGAACTTTGTTTCTCCTCTTAAAACAGATATCTTTATCGTTACGACCTAAGAAAATATTATGAAATTATTTTCGCAATTAAATGTTTCGTATACAACTCAACATATCTTGTCAAAATAGCACGTCAAATATCACTTGTTTATGCACTACGTTCAAACAGAGAATAATTAAAGAAGAATTTTTTATTCTTGAACTGTACTTGTGAAGTCCTTACGTACGTAAGGTCAAAAAGAGACTCACTGACAAAATTTGATAAAAAACCTTTCTACATTAAACCTCTATTTAATCGGGGATTCTATTTTCACCTTTCAACATTTAATAAATGGTTTAATGATTTCTGAACAACATTTTTTTAATTTTTAGTTCATGTACGAAATTATTGAATGATATTTAGTACATTCTTGATCATGCGAGAGACGTCGAGAAACAAAATAGCCCGTTCCTTCTGAACAATTGACCATATTTAATCACACAATAGGCCAAAATTGCATTTAACTCTCGTTAAATGTGTAATAAAAATTTGCCACTACAGGTTTACTTTATTATAATCAAGCAATTCGAGTAATGTCCATCATGCAAGCTTTTCTTCTAACCCGTGAACTAATAGAGTATCGTCTAATTTTGTTTTATGGAATATGTTTACCGCTATTTGCGAAAAATTATGTGTTACTTCTTCATATTGTACATGCTTTGTGTCTGTATGAATTGAATATTAACATGCGCGCGTTCTTTTTCCAATTGATATACATTGGTATGCTCATATCACTTCCGTTTTGTTAGTGAAATATGTCTATGATGTGATTTACTAATTGTATATAATATATATATATATATATATATATATATATACAGTCATACATACATATATTGTTTGATTATAGTCGCATTCTTACTGGTATTTTTGGCAAATTTATGAAGTTCTGTTCCCATTATTTATTCTTTTTTTTGTAAATATTTTTCCAAACAGTTAAGATTTAGTCTGATTTGACCACCAATCGTTTCGAAATAAATACTTAATTTGTGTACAATATTATTCTATTTAATGCTAAAACATTGTCTTGTTGCTATGGAAACAAAGGTTGTCAACCTCACTGATTCAATGCTGCAAAGCGTATTAAAGGAAGCGTGTGCATAAAAATGTTTTAGTTACTGCATATTGTTAGTTTAAAAAATTATGTTAAAGAACGGTAGCATGTTTACCAATAGTACAGTTACGTGATTCGGTCTTGTGAGTTAGAGCTCTGGGGCAGGTTAGCTCGAGTACGTTAACACTAAGGCTTCAACAGTTGGTTTCGAAACTCGCAAAGAGCAGGAATGGTTTTTACGCTTTTGATTATAATGAGTGTTCAATAACAGTATTTGTAAAGTATCAGTTTATTTAGTACATATCCAGAAGTAGGACTACAAAATTATTTCTGTTAAATGACACAAATTCTCTTAAAAACGTGTGTCATATACAGCTCTCCCATTTCAACGCCATGAAAACAATGAAACCATTCTCGTCACTAATGTTGCATCTGTGTCAGTGTGATGTCCGTAAAGTGTGCTTTTGATGTGCCTAGTTAATAAGTATATAAAAACCTAGCAGATCGTATTCGCTACATATCAGTGTTGTCAATTGTATCAAATCCTCTTTCCCCACCATCAATATAAAGCTATATACTGGGAGAGGTACAAGAATTGATGTTTTCTCGCAATTGAACGCCAAATTTCATTATATTAACCCTCAAATGGATACATGAAAAATACATCGATAGATGGGTACTTGGAGTAATCTGATTGCCTCATAGTATAGAATCAAATACAATATAAGATTACTGAATGTTTAATGAAAGTAAACAACAATTTTATTTCACTTATATGAGTTGATATTGTATGAAAAACATTCGTTTACTCCGTGGCAGAAAGGTATGTTGCATTTAAAGTTTGCATTTCTGAATGTACTATTGTTCTGTGAGGACACACATTTCATTTCAGTCATTTAATTATTTTTGCAATGGAGAGACGTATTCACTTACTTACAAACACACACGCATACAGGGGTATTTCGTTACATCAACTTACTTCCAATTGCCTGTACGAGAGTGCAAGATGAACACCAACACATGCGACAAACAAACCCTAACCTCAAAGGAAAGCAGTAACAAATTTCATACCCGTCAACTTTCATTCGCGAATTCTCCAAACGAAACACATGGGGCAACCAAAGTGATAGAATACAATACATAGAGTGGCCGACCTTTTAGTTTCAGCGCACTTGGTGAAGGCGAAGAAGTGGCCGCCATGTTTTTTTAAGTCAAACATACAAGTGGCGGTGTAACTCGGGTGTAATCGTCCATAACCATTACACGTAACCAGCGCCAAACGTAATCCTAGAATGCCTTGTTTCCCAGATGGCGCTGATTTGCTTCAAAAAACCATAGCTTCAATTTGATTCAACGGTGGAGACACTTCAGCCACTCTATGTAGTATAGTATTCTAGCTCGTTGGGGCTAACATAAATCCATTTGAGGGTTAAAGCGAATTCACGCAGCGGGTATGAGTATTTAAGAATGTAACAAACGTCTTTCTTATGAAGTAAATACTCGGTTGGGAGAGGGAGAGGGGGAGGGGAGGGAGAGGGAGAGGGGAGAGAGAGAGCGTGACGGGCGCGTCGTGTGTTCGCAGTGGATCGCTTGATGCACGCCGGCGCCTCGCGACAGCAGCGCGGCGGCCGCAGCGTGGCCCGCTTCCCCGAGGAGGAGAAGGGTAAGGACTCGCGCTCGCAGGGCTGCCAACCCCCGCCCGAGGAAAAGGGGATTCCCTGAAGCGGGTAATCTGCATTGGTCTCAGCGATAGAATACTAATCTTTATGTAGCAGTTCAAATGTATTTTCTCATCACGCCTGTAATTCCATTAGAAGTGGGTGTAGTATCGATTCTGAAACGAATTTGACTAAAATGTGGTGTGATCGGAAAGTTCGTTTTTTACACACACATGTACAATATTCAAGTACATTTATATACATATGTATATAATGCAATATAATGTACATTATATACATATATGTATAATGTAATATAATATACATAGGTATATTCGAGAAACATCTTTATGTGTATTATATTGTATGTCGGACTGCCTACTGGAGCACCCACGAGAAAAGTTAAAAGTAAGCCGCAGGTGGTAAGGGGTCGTCCATAAACTACGTAACCCAAATTTGGAGTATTTGAAATACCCCCGCCCCCTTCTGACGCATCTATAACGCACGCTTCCCTCTAAATGATTACATAACGCGACAACACGTCCCTTGTAAATGCAAGAAGTGAAAATAAATTATAATACAATAAAAACATTTGTATTTATTTTACTTGTGTTGTATATTAAAGTAATTAATGATAATTAAAGTGGAAATTAGTTGAATATGCTGCTTGCACCGAACAGTAAGATCAGGGCAAGTTGTGAGTGAAGGGAGAATTCTTGGAAGTGGTTGATTAGAAGCTACGCACATGCCGCCGTGAATGATGCGAGAGTCTACAGCGCCTATTTAAACGGATTCTTGAATAACTTAATATCTGTTTTGAATATATTCTTAGCAGTCTTACTGATTAAAAAATGTTAAAAAATATTTTCACTCTTTGTAACAATTTACAACACATAACTTTAGTTTATTTCTGTTTTTAAAACAAATTAATAAATTAATATTTTAATGTTGTAGTACAAGACTCAAAAAAGAATAATTTCAGCAAATATAGAAAGAAAATCAGTGTCACGTAACCCTTAACTAATACCCTTGTCCCTATGTAAGGCACAGTAACACTTCAGACACGCTCCTCCCTGTTTACCATTACGTAATTGATGGACGACCCCTGAAGAGAAACTAGAATCATATCATTAATCGTGAGAAGCGTCTTTAGACATTTTAGTAACATCAAATTGTATGTCAATAGTAAAAGTCTCCAAATCATAATTTTCACCATCCGCCACTACATCCAATCTATAACCTGTAACAAATTAAGAAATGATCTCTTCTCGATCTACCCATTCTTCTGGGAAGGCTTAGGTTTCTTCCTATCTTACTTATGGCTTATAATTTATTTCTATCTATTATTAAACGAATTGCTTTTTCTTCTAAAAAAGTAGAAAAAATAACTTAATTCTTTCTAGCATGGCAGTTTCTTTGCTAGAATGTAAGGCAGAGTAATAAAAAGCTTTCGATGTTTTGGAAAATAGTTTTATTTTGGTGTATTTCTTAAGAGTAGTTCCGACTCTATTATTAATTATTTTTAAGAGCAAATATGTATTTATGAAGTTAATATACTCAAATACTTTATGTATTGTTTTTTAGTAAATGAAGTAGCAATATTAATGAAAATGATAATATTTGAATGCGTGTATGTGATCAGTGGAATCGTAGCACAATATTTCAATAAAATATCAAAGAGGATTTTCAAAGACTTCCAAATTTTGAAAAATAGTATAAAAACATCTCATGACTGTTTTCAGAAATATTTGCCTTGCGATATTCAGTCACACAAGATAGGTACATTCTACATTCGAAATACTTAAATTCGAAAGAAATGTTGTTTCTGACATCATTTATAGAAAGAAATAGTTTTTTTATAATAGTAATTATTACAGTCAGTTGCACTTGGGAAACTTCAAATAAAATTTAAGAATTTTCCATGTCAACCAGTCAGGGAATAAATTATCCGCAGAGTTTTATTGCTAGGATGAGACATGCCTGTGAATGTTATTTTCAATAGTAATTCGTAATATTGTTTCCAAATTAGTACATATCATTGATCAAATACATTATTATTTTGTTTTTTATTCGATCACTAGGATAATATCCTTAATAAATATTGTGGCTATTCTAGAATTTTCAAGGTAAATAAAAGTCACTGCATTGTTAAAAAATTCTTAAGTTCCTTAAAACTAAAAATATGTATTTACAGACGTTATATACAGGATAAACTTGAACTCTACTGGCGACGTTCTCGAGGCGACTTTTGTTATTGAGTGTAAATATAGAAAAATGGACAGATATTTAAATATGTACATCGCGAATAAGATTATTATGGCAGTTTAGGGCCCTACATTTCTATGCGTTGAAGCACTGTCCAAGCCTTTCACAAATACATCATGCATCAACTTCTCATTTATGTGTCACAATGTGCAATTGTATAGATATTTATTCTGCAAATTATTAAGTAGACTGGAAATAGTAATTAATAATAATAATAATAATAATAATAATAATAATTAATAGTGAAAATGTTTGTGAAAAGAAATAAAGATTGCTGATAAAAAACAGAAAAAAAATAAGAGTTATTGTAGTTATTGTCAGTTTACTTACTCCCCCACTTCATTTCTGGAAGAATTTCTGGATTCTGTAAATTTGTAAAAGAATGGAAGATCTGTTTTGAGTTATTTTTATAAAGAATCTCGCTATGTTAGAATAACTATACGCTTCGTATAAGCATTTTCATTTAGAGCCAGCCACGGCCACGGCTTGGATGTGTTTGGAACAGCGTCTAAGGACGAGGGGGATGAAGGATTTAATCACACGCAATACATAGACGTTTTTACCACTTGTCTAAGCGTGGTTAGCTTCCACACATCATACATTCTATACTAAGCATCATCTATCCCTTTCAAAATCATTCTGTCATGCGTCCCTTTACCGCCTTCCATTCAGAGGAAGGCTAATCTCTGCACTCATTTGACGAAGAAGCATTCTCTCTCATTTTTTCTCAGAAAACCTTTGACACACGCCATCCTTATGTTCCACCCAAGAGCCAACTCCCGGCGTTCGTTCGTAGAGTTCAAGTTCACTCCTATATCTCATGTGTATTAGAACGGCATGGGTAGTGTACGGCGTTTCTGTACCATACGAGCCGAGTGTAACGCCATACGAGAAGAGTGTAACGCTCTATTACCAGAGAGCAAAACACCGTATGTGCAGAATGTAATGCCGTACGGATAGAGTGCAACGCTGTACGGCCAGAGGGTAACGCTCCCTTCCCAGAGAGCAACACCGTACGGATAAGAGTGTAAGGCTGTACGGGTAGAGGGTAACGCTCCATTACTAGAGAGCAACACCGTACGGATAGAGTGTAAGGCTGTACGGGTAGAGTACAACGCTCCCCGCGCAGGGTAAAAGGGGCCACGCCGCTCGCGCAGATGCTGCCTTCTGGCGCGCGGGCGCGCAGCAGAGGCTGCGCGACGCGCGACAGCGCCAGCCCAACACGCGGCGCGCCAAGAACCTCATCATGTTCCTGGGCGACGGCATGTCCATCCCCACGCTGGCCGCGGCGCGCACCTACCAGGGCCAGCTGCAGGGCCAGCCGGGCGAGGAGTCTCAGCTGTTCTTCGAGACCTTCCCGTACGCCGGCCTCTCCAAGGTACTACGCGCGCACCGCGCCCGCACTCGCTTGCCGTCTGCTTATGCGGGCGATATCGACACTCGGCATTCGTGGGCTGCCGCGGCCGGAGTCATTGGATACCTGGCTGTCAGGAATCGGCCGCGTCTCACTCCATCCAACTGAGGTTCGATCAGATGATCGCGATGTCCTTCTTCAGAGCGATGAGCAGTTTGGCTATGAAGAAGGCCAAAACACAATGGCCGAAACGTCAGCTTGATCCACTGAGACGCGGCTCATCCCGGACAGCCAAGTATCCGATATCAATACTCCCCTATATTATAAAATCCTAATGTTGTTTTCACTTTTTTATGCTACCATACAATTTTTATCACCTGGCGATATCGTTCTAGAAATGGCTTTTTCACGGACTGTGCTCAGTACCACTAGCCAGTTCTGCGAAATATATGTCGTTCTGATATTGTATTGATTATTGTAACGGTGCATCTTATCTAACCTTTTCTATCACGCCATAAATAGCGTTAAACTAAGATTTGGAGTGCATGGTCTCTATACAGCCGGTGAGTGAGATAGATATAAAGGCTATTGGCGATAGGACAATAGAAAGGTCTGCAGCAAGTTTCGCCGCTGGGCGACTTGACAAAAGGGCCTTTAGCGATCCTGAGAGGCATCTGTACTTGGCCTTCCACGGCATGTTTTGGAGGGAAGATACTATCACCTGTTGCATTTCTGTGTCCGCGTAGACAAGATAGATGTAAACAAAGTCACATGTCTGAAACGTCGCGATGCTCAGCATTCTCGCACTTTGTGCACTGCATAGGCAATTAAAGACTTCGTGCAATGATTTGAAAAGTAAGATAAAAGCAAGTAAAATAAATGTTTATATTTTCGCCCAATGTAACGCAAGTTGCTGTCAAACATACTTATCAACTGAGAAAGGCCGAAAACATTCATATATTTTCGTGTAATAGTTTTGCAAATTTCGAAGGGTGTTGTTTATACACACTCTGTTGACAATGATAATGCCAATTTGGGAAATTATGTGCAGTATGTAGCTGAAAACATTGCAGCTATAGGCTCAAACCGGATGCATATAAGGCAATTGTACAACGTCAGCCTTACTGAAGACTAGGCAGCGCGTTTCAATGGAACGCTGAAAGTTTATGATATGGCACCAGTTTTTTGAGAAAATAGACTGAATTGTTTAAGTCTACTCTATTTTCTGGAAGAAAAAAAGTATACTTAGTAGCGGATACTGCTTATCAGACTCGTTCGTAAAATGCGATTTGACCTTGAATTTAAAGATAACTTTGAACCGGAAATCAGTTTAATTTTTTTTAAAAGGTGCCTTGAATTTTGATAATACTCTAGACATGTAATATGTTATGAAGAAAAAAATGAAATAATCCTATTTCTAATAATGCCCTACTCATTCAGCCACTTGTCTCTCTGCATAAGGCTAGTTTGGAAATTGAAATAGAATTTCTCCTCCGAATGCTGATTGTCGGTTCCACATCATTCGAGCACATTTTTGAGTAGAGAATAAAGTCTCTAACAAACGATCTCATGTTTTGGATTTGAAATCTTAGTATCGTACAATCAACAGCAACGTTGCCTCTGCAGCTTTGTTGACTGGGATTTCCTAGGGTTCGAGTCTCGCCCATGTCACATTTTTGACCCTAGCTACGTTTGTCGAATATCTCGACTGTCGGAAGAATCAATATCAACCAAATGCCGGAGTAGAACACTAAACAATAAGCCATGGACCGCGATGTTTAATTTTCCAACCGTGTTCCCACTTCTCTTACACACATATGCATACACACACACACACACACAAGTGGGCGCGCGCGCTTTCTTCATTACCTCGTATGCTGGGAGCTTAGAGCTAAGTAAGGTAACACCCTTCAGGTCGCCGTACGGGTCAGCACTGGATCTCATGTTCTAGCTAGAGAATCGCACTTCCTCCTTGGATGTAGCAGGCACTACACTCACGGGAGTAATCTCATACCCGCCCGGAAACATTACTCTCTCACGAATTCTGGATATGTAGAATCTTTAGGTCTAAACGTGTTGTTACACCAGTGTTCTGTTGATTTGCTGCAGATGTTTATATTCTTACTAATGTTGTTTTCAGCCAGTCACTAGTAAAATCCTTTACTTTTAAGACATACAATTCAATTTTTAGCACTAGTGCTAAAAGTGCGCAAACATTCAGAATAAACAGGGTGACTGCAAGAAAGAAAACAAAAGTTTTGTCTAACCCCATCACCTACTACTTATATTAAATAATCTGTGTTCTTGAATGAAAACAAAATGAAAGTCAGTATGTCTTTCTACAAAATAGTATGCCACACGTGGTACAACTCATTTAATTTTGCCTGTAGGATTGCGCCGTTTGGCCTATAGGCCTCGTGTCCCAATATTCCCTGCTCGCAAAACACAATGCCATTTTTACCACTCTCATCATAAATAACTATTACGTGTTTGTTGGTGACCGTAGACTTGCATTCAGTTCATTGCTTCTGCTCGCAGACCTACTGCGTTGACGCGCAAGTGGCGGACTCCGCCTGCTCCGCCACCGCCTACCTGTGCGGCGTCAAAGGAAACATCGCCACCATCGGCGTCACCGCCTCCGTCGTGGAGAGCGACTGCAAGGCCAGCCAGGACAAGTCGACACACGTCACCTCGATGATGCACTGGGCACAGGCAAGCCAGCAACTATTACGTTTAAGCCATCAACTATTACGTTTAAGCCATCAACTATTACGTTTAAGCCATCAACTATTACGTTTAAGCCATCAACTTATTACGTTTAAGCATCAACTATTACGTTAAGCCATCAACTATTACGTTTAAGCCATCAACTATTACGTTTAAGCCATCAACTATCACACTATTACATTTAAGCCATCATCTATAACGGCATTACGTTGAAGCCATCAACTATCACACTATTACGTTGAAGCCATCAACTATCACACTATTACGTTTAAGCCATCAACTATTATACTATTACGTTTAAGCCAGCAACTACTTCGATATTACATTTACTCTGACGACTATTACGTTTAAGGAAACGGTTCATTCGCAAGTAAACCAGGCTGGACGGGTCTGCTAAGCACGGGATTTTTGCAATCCATTGTACGAACAATAAAGCAGGTGGTAGCACCAATAGAGCTTACGCCAAATCCGAAAAACGAGAATCGCGAACACAGTTTTTTCGTGTCAATAACTATTGAGAAGAATGTTCGTAAAATGCGTCAAACATGTTTAATGTTGACGACCGGACTAATAGTCTTACTAAGAAAGTCACGTCAAACGGATGTAATTTTTTTATAATTTATCACTTATTCAAAATTTAAACATTACTTTTTAACCATTATCTTCTTCAAGACACATTGATCGTTTTTATCATGTAATCTGCTGCACAACACTTCGTTCCTCTTTTATGAGTTTCTCTCAATTTGAAGACGTGGCTGATTGCATGGCACCCCAAGAAGACATGAAAATGTTTTTTTAAATAAAACTTTACTACACAAATTACAAAACAAAAGATTGTGTAAATTTCTAAATAGACTAATTGAAAATTAAAAAGCAATGAACTTTGTCATCAATAAATGTGAATTCTCTTACAATAGAAAACGTTTTGCACTTGGGAACAAAGTGAGAATTTCTCGTGTGTCTATTCTAACGGATGTATCCGTAATAGGAAATTATTTTCACCATATTTTGCTTGAGAATAATTAGATCATATCATTTTTACTAAAATACATACTTTAGGCTAAATATATGTTGATAATTTAGGTGTAAAATATGTGTTACTATCAAATTGCATACTATAAGAAAGGAAAGAAGGAGATTGGAAAAAAGCTAAAACCAAACTGCTAGGCAGGATAAATTACTGGTGCAAAAATTTAATTATTTCACAATTCTCTGTGAAATCTGCTGCCCATCCGCACATTGCCACCTTAAATTTAAAAAGTAACATATGGGCAATAAGGCAGGAAGAAACAGAAACGATTGGTATATGACGAAGCCATGAGTAAATTGAAACACATTGGAAGCATTTCCAACAATAACCATAATAATAATAATAATAATAATAATAATAATAATAATAATAATAATAATGTCTTTATTAATGGCGAGGCTCAGGCCATAGGGCCCGCTCTTCCGCCATACGTAAAATATTCGCCGTTATTCGTAAAGAGCTGTAGCAATTTGTCACACTCGTGAGAGAATAAATGTTAATTGACTTATTTTCAACAAAAACAGCACCATATTCTAGAAAGCGGACACCTAGCAAAAGATTGGATGGCGTTACTTCATTATTTTTACCATAGACGTGCGCACGGTGGTTCCTGGACAACCTCACTATCTTGGAATGCTAACAAGCATTTTCGATGTTTTTATACATTATATTACAAAAATGTAAATCAGTGCACTCGTAATATAGGCTACTTGTAGATCTTATTAATAGACTTGTAAACATTCCAAACATTGAGAGTAAAACAAAAATTCAAAATTTTAATATTGATATTAGTAGATATTGACATGTGCTTCAGAATGAAGATTTAATTTATAAGATAATGTTTTCGCGTGTTTAAATGGAATTTTATTTCTTTTTCTCCGAAACCGTACGCATGACCTAAAAAACTAAAATAATTATTCACATTAGATCTTTCAATCTTTGCAAAATTAGCAAATTTTCTAAGAAAATTATCATTGAAAATGCTCCTATTACACCGCATTTTCTATTGTTATTCGATTAAATTAAAAACTTGTTGAGCCTGTTTAATTGATTAAATTTGAATGGAAATTCATCTATTGAATGGATATTAATAAATGAAAGTAATTAGTTCTAATTGCCAAGCGACATCCTGTCAAATTATTAAAGTAGCTAAGCCAAGCCAAATGGCTGCCAATGTCGTGCACTCAAGTGCGTCCGCCCGAGTATCATCCGTGTTGGGTCCCCAAGGCGGGCCGTGCGAACGCCCCTGCCAATTGCGCTAATGCGTGCGCGTGCGTGCGGGCGCAGGAGGCGGGCAAGGCGACGGGCATCGTGACGACGACACGCGTGACGCACGCGTCCCCGGCCGGCGCCTACGCGCACACGGCCGACCGCGACTGGGAGAGCGACCGGGACGTGATCAAGGACAAGCTCAACCCCAGCGACTGCCCCGACATCGCGCAGCAGCTCATCACGGGCGAAACGGGCAAGAACTTCAAGGTGAGTGCTCTTGGCAACACTTTCTTGGTTTCAACACAAGCAACAACTACAAAGGGAGTGGTTTTGTTATGGAACGGCGGTCAGAACTTGCAGAAGTCTTGTCATGATGTCTTGAGAAAGCGACAAAAATGTACGGTGCCTGATGTTGGTTTGAGACATGAGCATTAAAGGTACTTGTTTTTAATCAGTGGTGTGCCGGCAAGTTAAGATGGAGGAAATGCATATACGTATTTGCCTCTTCATGCCCCGACCCTCGAAGCCAAAAGATCAAACATTGGCTGATAAGAGCATTCTAGCCCTAAATCTGGTACACCTTCAGTATAGGAGCCATTTTAAAGACTTTTCGCGTCAGAAAGGATTTATTTTCGCAGCTTTTGTAATCGATACAAATGACGAAAAAGTATTCCAGCACAAGGACCATTTTTACTTTCTCATTCTTGTTTGCTCCCCCCCCCTGCCTTTGCCAGATCCACTTCCTTCCCTTCACCTGTCCCATCTGCTGAATATGTATGTAGCTGAAAACAGGGGGAGAGGGAAGAGGAGAGGGTTGGCAGGGGCGGCGAGGACAACGAATCCGACCGCCGACATATGACTTCGAGTAATATTCTTACTACGAATACAGATTGATTGTCTCTACAACAACACGTCATTTTCCTACGCTACTATTATATTTTTTTTCAAAACTGGTTAACACCACAACGGTGACCCAGGGCATCATCTGATGTCATTGTAGTGCCTAAGTTCGAGGTGGCAGGATTTTTGGCACGTGGTAGATAGCTAGATTGCGTCCAGCCGATGTCTGCAGGAAAATTCTAGCGGCGTGATGCTCGCTTGCGCCGATGCTCGCGCGCGGTTTTCCGGGGTTTATTGCCATGAACACCAGGCGAATGTCGGAGCACTACCTAACCAACGGACGAGGGATCGCGCGCGATCTTTCCTTCCTCTTCCTTGCCCTGTCTTCATCCCTTACTTACACCCACTTACACTTACATGTATTTGCGTTACCACACATGTCGCCAGATCAGATGAGATCTTAGATCGTGGTGCTACACTGGTGGGAGTTATCTGCTTGGGCAAAATCGGGGGAGAGCCGTCGTAGATCAAGCCGACATAGACCGGTTGCCATTCAGCGGAGAAGATCACCGCCGCCAGCCTAGATAACAATATGAACGGTTTATGACTTTAAGAGTTGTCTCATCCGGAATCACTGATCAATCCCGGCTACGGAACCATATCCCGTCTATAACCCGTCTACCAACAACCAAGCTTCCCTATCCCCGTCTTCATCCAGAAAGGGGAGTCAAAAGACCAAAAGAACAACCTGCCAGAAGCCCACAGTTCGAAGAGACCCCGCAAGGGGTCAGGCGAAATTTAATTAAAGATCCAAGTAGACGGAACTAATGCCTCCTGAAGTTGAGGCGCCCCAAGTCAAAGTTGAATTAACAGTCGTGTGTGGTGCGCAGGTGATTCTGGGCGGCGGGCGGCGCGAGTTCATCCCCGAGGACCTGGAGGACGAGGAGGGCTCCCTGGGAAGCGCAAGACGCCAGAACCTCATCGGCGATGGCAGAAGGACAAGCAGGCGCGCGGCGCCCGCCACCAGTACGTGTGGAACCTGGACGGCCTCCGCAGCGTCGACTACAAGAACAACGAGTACCTCCTGGGTGAGTTCGCCCTATTTTAATTTCTCTATTCTCAAACAAACACGACAATGCTTGTGCGTGGGAGGGAGAATCCTCTTTAATCCTCAATTATACAGCTCCTGTTTGGGGACCTACTATTCGTAGCTTCCGCCGCTGGATCTCACCATTCAGCCGGGGCGGAACACCGCCATCTCCCGTGATAAAGCTTTCCCTACACCAGAGAAAATTGTTATCATAGAAGTTGGCACGCGCAGAAACATTAATAAATCAATCAATCCATTAATGCGGGGAGGGGGGAAACAAATTTGTGCTACAGGACAATTTGAATGTAAATCTCGTAAATAGTAAATTTAAATATATTCTTAGTTTTCCCAACACGGGAGGTGTGCGATTTGTTACCCTTGGCACCTCCGTCGAATTAATAAAATTATCCGCAAAGTATTGTATACAGATTGTATATGTGAAATGTATTACAGATTGGACAAGTCATACCTCTATCGAACCTCTAGTAGCTTTTGAATATCCAGAACATCGTTTTTGGTGAGAGGACGCCGCAACCCTGCGATGCCCTGCGGCCAGCCCCTGGCTGTGTGCTTACGCTCGTAGCGGTACGCGATTTTGATCTCCCCGCGCCGGTTCGCCCTGTTTGCTCAAATCCAGATTTACATCCTTCCCGTTCGGTAATATCAACACACGTCAATTGGCTGTAGGGGTACATCTCAGGTGGACATGGACACAATCAGATCATTTATTTATATTATGTTCCTGCTTGTGCAAATAAATTATTTGGTATTTTGTTATAATATGCCATGTGTGTTATAATAGTATATTAAATACAACCTTAAAGTGACGCGCAGAAATCAAGCATTCTTTCTTAGTTGCATACAGTTTTTCTTTTTGTGTCTGCTTAAAACAGTTATTCCAACAATGCCTATTTAATATTTTTTATTTGTTATACTTGTGTTATGAAATATAAATTAAAACAAAAAAATAATAAGTTAAATTGTTAAATACTTTTTTAAAAACTCGGGCCATAAAAACATTTTTATGTCATTTAGCTGGTGAATTCATACTACTCGAAATAAAAGTTATAATTTTTAATGTCAATCCAACTAAGACTATTTGTTACTACAACAAAATAAAAACAAAAAAGTAGATTGCACATAAAAGTGAAACCTCATTTCAAATTCATTACGCTATTTCCGAAATTTTATCAGTTCAATGAGGACTAGAAACTTTTTTAAGTATTAATTTTAGAAATACAGTGAAACTTACTCAGACCACCAAGTGGTTCCCTCAACCAACGGTCAATTTATTTTCCGTGAAACCGCTTGATTTTCTCATTAGTCAGTGTAAATATTTCCTCTTTTCAGCGGGAGTAACTTTTCGAAGTATCGTTTTATTAGACGTTCACCTCAAGTTATTTTTAACTGTATTATCATTGAAAGCGGAAATGTGATGGAGATTACTATTGATTTAATATATTTTTTACAGTGGGACGTATTTTTCTTTGGTGGCCGCTTAAATCAGGTTTTACTGAACTTTTTTGATCTTGTTTTTTAGGTCATCTTTTTACCAATTTGGAGATAGAGTCTATTTGGTCAACATCTCGATTGTTACTGTGTTTTTCTTACTTTAGGGGTAATTGTATTAAGGAAACATAAGGACAACACGAACACACAAACATCCAAGCCTGAGGCGGAATTCGAACTGGCTTTACTGAACGTTCTGTGACTTGTCCAAACACTATTAGTTGTAGCGTTTTTCCAAATAAACTCTGCCTGAAATCATCCCATTAACATGATTGTGCGGCTGTGTCTGCAGGTCTTTTCGAGAGCTCGCACATGATGTACCACCTGGACGCCCTGCAGGCGCCCTACAACGAGACGGAGCCCACGCTCACCGACATGGTCCGCGCCGCCATCACGACCCTGCAGCGGCACAGCGAAGGCTTCGTGCTCTTCGTCGAAGGCGAGTCTTCACCCCATCCATTCCCTTCCCTTCCCTTCCCTTCCCTTCCCTTTATCCTTTCTACACCTCTTAAAATAGAAATGTCTTCCATTTGAATTGTGACCGTTGTCAAAAATTATCGTTCGAGTCAACAGGCCATGTTTTTCTAGCAGGCAGTTCTTAAAGAACCGCCTATGTGAATATAAGCGCATAAGTCAATGAGTCCTAATGACAGAAAACATGTCAATAATAAAAGAAATCAAATTAAAACTTTGTGTATCACGTGGTTGAAATTCCATTATGTAATAATGTGCTTTTAGCACCATATGTCGTTAGTAACTGTACAATCACGCTCCCGCGCTTATGAAATAAACTTGCACATTATTTTAACTACTTTCAGTAGTTTACATCGCCATCAAATTGATATTGGGCAAATGACGGGCGCGACTGAACCCCAAAAGCGTTCTTTTTTTGTGACATTAAATTCTGTGTCGATCAACGCTTGTGGTAATACTACCTCCTTATAAAAAATACATCATTTAAATAATAAAACACTTTTCTTCGAATAGAAATACTCAAATACATTGTAAGACTTCAACTCATTTTTTATTGTTATTAACATTATCACGGCAAACTTAACTAATCCGTAGCAGAAGGCCAACCGCTAACAGTGGTTTACATTCCTCTGTTTTCCTCTTTTTGATTTGATACAAAAGAGTTGCGAAAATTAAATATTTTTTCTTTTGTTTCCTTTTTTGTCCTTCCCTTCCTTTCGTTTGATATAAAAGAATATAGGCATTTTCTTTTCTTCATTCCGTTTCTATAGTTCCTTTTCTTTCGTTTCCTTTGGTTTGATATAGAAGAAAATTGCAAAACAATTTTTCTTTTCATTTCCGTTCCGGTCGTTTCTTTCCTTTCGTTTTTTCGGTTTGATATAAAAGAGTAAAGCGAAAAAAACATTATTTTGTTCCGTTCCTGTCATTCTTTTCCTTTTGCTTCTTTTGGTTTGATAAACAGAGTATTGCAAAAAATATAATTTTTCCTTTCGTTTCCATTTCTTTCGTCGTGTAAATATTTCGATGTAAAAGAGTAGCGGTAGTTTACGTTCCTGCGGTCTCCTTGGTGTGGTCTGAAGGAGCATGGCGAGCGGTGTGTGTGTGTGTGTGCGTGCGCAGGCGGGCGCATCGACCAGGGCCACCACGAGACGTGGGCGCATAAGGCGCTGGACGAGACGGTGCAGATGGCCGAGGCCGTGCGCGCCGCCGCCGAGCTCACCGACGAGCAGGACACGCTCATCGTGGTCACGGCCGACCACGCGCACACCATGTCCATCAACGGCTACCCCGACCGCGGCAACGACATCTTCGGTGAGCGACGACGCTACAGCTTCAACATCAACCACAACAACAACAATAACAATAATAATAATAATAATAATAATAATAATAATAATAATAATAATAATAATAATAATTAAGTTGGCTCAGCGGCGCAGACGGTTGCAGCAGCCGTCGTCTCAGCTGCGTCGAGTTTCAATTTTTTTCTTCAAATTTTTCGAAAGGATAGTGCTGATTGCACCCTTATTACACAAAGTTCATTTTGCGCTACTTTTTTGTTTTTTAAAAAATTATACAAATGAAATTTTTTGAAAGATCTTTAAAGCCGTTAATATACAAATTTCCAATAATTTGTATACACTGTTGTGTTTGTGAGTTAGATTGTTTCAAGTAACTTCAAATGAAGTTTTCCAAAAGCTCAATTTTCTGTAGAAAAGAGCTTCAAATTTCGAATTTACAGTAGCGCTTAAACGCCATTTTTATAAAAACTCCCCAAATTTTTCGAGGTTAATTGCCAATAAGGACGAGATTTTATTGTTGTTTAATATTCCTAAAAATAATATTTCCGTTCTACTATAAAGAAACCGAAAAATTATGAAAATTTCCAAAAATTATACTTTGGGCGGCAAGAGATGCAGCAGGCAAGAGTATGTGGCAAGTCCGAGTACCTAGCAGGGATCAAAATAAATAGAAAACTAATATGAGAAAGTCGCCATTCTGTAACACCACTAGTTTTAACTTGTCTCTTCCTTGTTGGAAGGTATTGCCGGACTGGCCGATGACGACTTCCCGTACTCCACGCTCTCCTACGCCAACGGGCCCGGCTACCGCCCGGAGGAGTACGGCCACCGCCACGACCTGCGAGAGGACGACATGGGTACGAACCGATCCGTTTTGCTCTCTCATGCAAATCGCGCAACAAAATTTTGGTTCTTAAGAGTTGAGGGCGGTATCTTGGTGGAAATGAAATGTATTCGGATGTGCTTTGCGGTTAGTTTAGTTTTTTCTTTCAAAATATAAATCTGTATTTCATTTTATAATAATTATAAAAGTTTGTTTAGGTTTATATAGGTTAATTATTGACCTAAATTCAAAACACATCTAAAGGACATTGTACCAAGATCGCAGTCATGATACAGGATGTGCATGCAATACTAAGACGTCAAAATAAAAGCGTACGGCCTGTTCTAACAAAATTGCTCTCTTTGTGTTTGTTTGAACGTCCGTTGCGACTCGGGCGGATGGCTTTGTGCGCAGAGGACAAGGACTACGAGTACCCGGCGCTGGCGCCGCGCAGCAGCGAGACGCACGGCGGAGACGACGTGGCGGTGCTGTCGCGCGGGCCGTGGGCGCACCTGCTGACGGGCGTCTTCGAGCAGAACTACATCGCGCACGTGATGGCGTACGCCGCCTGCATCGGCTCGGGCGCCACCGCCTGCGAGGACGCCGGCGCCGCGCGCCGCCACTGACACCGCCCCCCCTCCATCCTCCATCCTCCATCCTCCATCCTCTTCCTTTTTCTCCATTTGCGGCACCCCCTCCCGATCGAACGTAGCCACCCTTCCTCAAACTACACCAAACCATCACATCGAGTCCAAATGCATTGATGAGTCATTGAAATTGTATGTGGTGCCAAACCCACAAAAAAAATCACATTTGAAACTTTATTGTTCTTTCAGTGAAACCCACATACGAAATCTTCAGCTCGTTTGATACTATTAAAGCTTAGTGTCCATAATTGATTCTCATTGGACCCATTATCTTCTCAGCCGACTACACTTCCTGAAAACGGGGTACAATGGAACTCTTCATGTCTTTCAAAGAAGAGCATCATTCATATAAAGTTTTGTGTGCTAAACGTAAAGATTCTAGTGAGTTCAAAACGTAAGAGCCATCATGGGTTATGTTTATCTTGAACCCTATTAGGTTCATTTTCTATTGTGTGACTCCTAAGCAGCAAAACTTTAGAAAGTTGCTACTTTAAAATCCTCATACAACTTGCAGTTCAAACTTCGGGGGAATTTTCTTATGTGAGATTCACAGACAATAATTCTATGGTATATTGAATACGCCATATTCAATACTGACAAATATAGCAATTTTTGTGCAAGCAGACTATCGGTGCTGCTTTTTCTCTGAAATAGCTGAAAATGATATATATTTCCTTTCCAAAATTGGAATAAGTCCCGGACGTACTAAGCTTTTGACATTACATGTATATAATTTGTGTTTATAATATTACAGTGCTGTAAAATATTTTATTTGCAGAAGATTCACAGTTAAATTGTTTCATTACACTTCCCACCGATTAGTTACCTTATTTTGTGTCATTATTGATTTTAATTTTATGTATCATTCTGTTTTCTTCATCAAAAGCAAGTTTTTAATCATCAAACAAAATACATTCTACTTTCACAAATATTGTTGCATATGTTGATGCCTGAAGTATCACAATATCTCAGGTTTTGGGTTTTCCAGTAAATATTTCTGAGAAAATTCTCTTATATTTGTACAGTGTAAATATTATTGTGAAGAAATATAGATACGTTTGTAGCATTCTGCTGTAGTGTGTTACTTTTCATTCCATTTTCACTAAGTTCTCCTTTTCCTACCTTCTAAGGAAAGACAGCTAATTTGGACAGAAAAATTTGTGCTATATATAATTTGTCCCTTTCTATCTTACATTTGCATTAAAGAATGATAAGGTAATAATCGTAATAATAATAACAATAACAATAACTATAATAACAACAATGTAAAATGTTTCTGCACAAGTGAAATTATGTATAAAATCTTATTTTTAAGAACAATGAAATTAATTAATTTTTTTCAATTTTTTCATACAATTATTACAAGTAAACTGCTAATATTTTATGCAGTATACTGCTTTCTTTACAGGCAAAATATTATTTAAATTTATTGCATTCATTTCAACTTTCTTCCTACATTACTTTATGGCAAAATAAATATTGAAAATAAAGTTTATTAAATAGTGAATTGACCATGGTTGAACTGCCATCTTGTTGACATTTTTTAAAAAAATTCTATTCAACTTAAATATATAAATAATGTATTAAGACATTATCAGTTGTAACTATGAAGATATCCCTCCATTGGATTCAATAATTCATGTAAAGAAGACATGCGAATACAAAAGTTGGTATTTAAAGCTTTACTATTTCATAAAATATTAATGCAAATTATAAAAATTAAATTAAGGTTATTGAAAAGAATCATAACTAGTTGAATGTTATTATTTCAGCTTTTATCCAAACTGCATTTCAATTGTGTTTTGAAAATAAATGTTTGAAAATTTCAAATATTGATAGAAATTCAGTGCTACTGAATAAAACATCTTCAATAAATTGATAAATCAAGCTAATGAAGGTGTGAGACAGTGAAGTAGGAATTAACTGATGAAAATGGAAAAAATGACGATGCCCATTTGCCTTTATTTTAAACGCAGCATATTTTGCGAAATAGCAAAAGAATCATATTTCCATTACCTAAATTCAAATGAGCTCTGTATATATTTAATCATTTTATTCAAATTTCATTACTACAAGTAAATAGAGAATTGTATTGATTCAATTTTTTGTGGAAAAATTAAACATTTTAATGTAATTTTCGGAAAACCGTAACATATAAGCAAATAACCTAAATTTCAAAAAACTAACCACAAATCTTGTTTCGTTTTTATCAATCACGTTACATTATTTTTAATTGACGCAAACCTTTGCTCTATGAATATCACTAATGACTCATACTCAGGTTTTAGGTTTGGAAGAACGCAAATTTGCTGACTAAATTTCGTCAACCTGCTTTAGATCAATTGCAGGCATTGAGTTTGCGCCTATGTCTATCATGACTATATCAGTGACACTGCCATTTCTTAAACAATGAAATTAATGCGTCCATTAATTTTTTTTCTGTTGTCAGACGCCACACTTCTTAGAAATATTGTGACCCAAACTTTTTTCACTGTCTTATAAATTGCTGCTTAATATGCACTAGTGTAATAACATTGTTACGTGATAAGTTTTGTGTGCTTGATCTTTTATGTAATCCCTGCAATTAATGAAATATCTTATTTTAAAATAAGCAAAAGTAAAACAACCTGTGTATGGCATTTTTTATTTACATTATGCATTGTTTTGAGGAAAGATCGCCAGAGGTCGCCCAAAGTCCACCGTCGAGTTTCTCTGGCCCGCTGCTGGATAGCGTTTTCTAAAGAGCGGGATAGATACGCGAGCAATGAGGAAGAGAAGAAAATTGATGGTAATGTATTACAATGAAGAATAAGTAAAGAAACACAAGACAAGGAATGCGGCGAAGAAAGACCCTTTTTCCATTTTTTTCCCATTAGAATTGACACATGGAGAAACGTGGATTTGAACTTTGGTATCAAGGCGACAATAGAAAGCGATCTGATTTGTTACCCCACGTTTAATAATGGATATAAATACTTTCTGTAAACTACAAAAAAAAGGAATATTTAAAAAACCATGTTTAGGTAATATTAGAATTGTGAAGGTACTAGAAAGGTTAAATAATGTCATAGGTCGGACAGCCCAGATTATTACTAGAAAGGTTACCATTATTTAAATCCATTGCTTTATTATTAATGTAGTTTCTCAAGAATATTATTCGAATTTGGGAAATTTGCGTGAATTTAATGATTTTGTAACTTGAGAGAATTCTCCTATTAACTTCTCTCCCTAAAAAAAGTTTCAAATTTTTTGTTTTAACTTCTTGTAACGATAGAGCTCAATACACAGAATTATTCAAATTGTGGCCGTGAATATTAAATTTTTATTTTTGAATCCAAAAAATATTTTTCAAACTACTTGCATTTTATATTTATACATACCCACCACATACTATATCATATAATTTGATTCAATTAAGGACCAAAATGCTTCAAATTTGCTTTCGTCTTTATATTTCCCTTATCGTCTACGACTTTTGTCTTTGTCTTTTTTTCGAATTCCATCTTCATATTTGATATTCGTCATTCGTTTTTCGATTGCATTATTGTCTATTGACTTCATCTTTTACGTTGCTTTTTCGTCTTCACATTTCGTCTTCATCTTGATTTGCGTCTTCATCTTTCGTCTTCGTTTTTCGTTTTCGAAAATAATTTTCCTCTTTCGAATTCGTTTTTCGTCTACGTTGCTCGACTTCATCTTTCGTTTTCGTCATCGTCTTAAGGTGTCGTCTTTCAATTTCACTTTGCTGTTCGTTTTCGCCACACGCCTTCTTTGTTCGTCTTGTTTTTAAGAATTATTCATCTTCATTTGTCTTCGTATTTCGCCTTTCATGGTTCATCTACGTCTTCCGTTCAACTTTCGACTCAAACATTCCTCTCGTTTTCGCCTCTAGTTTACGTCTATTGCTTTGGTCTGTCATTTTCGTCATTTCTCTTTGGTTCCTCATGTTTGTCATTCGACTTCGTTTTTATCTCATATTTTCGTCTTTCGACTTCACCATTTGTCCTCCTCTATCTTCTTCATGTTAGATTTTCGTGTTCGTTACGGTTTTCGCCGACGTTAACGGTATTCTTTTTTCCTTTGTCTTAGTGTCTCGCTTTTGAATTGTTTGTCTTCTTTCAATTTCGTTTTTCGTCATGTGTCATCAGCCTAAAATTTCACCTATCACCTTCTTCTCTCGCCTTCATCTTTGCTCTTCGCCACGTCATGCCTCTCGCCTTCGAATTTCATCTACGTGTTTCGTCTTCGTAATAGTCTGAATGTTTCAACTTCGGGTTTCGTTTTTGTCTATAACTTTCGTCTACAACTTCGTCTTCGCCTTTCGTCTTCGTCTTTCGTCTTTCGTAATTCGTCGTTCGTCTTTCGACTTTCGTCTTTTGTTTTTCGTTTTTCGTCTTTCGTCTTCGTCTTTCTTCTTCGTCCTTCGTCTTTCGTCTTCGTCTTTCGTCTTCGTCTTCGTCTTCGTCTTCCTTCTTCGTCTTTCCTCTTCTTCTTTCGGCATCGACTTTCGTCTTCGTGTTTCATCTTCGTCTTTTGTTTTTGTTTCACGTCTTCGTCTCTCATTTATGTCTTACATCTTCGTCTATCGACTTTGTCTTTCGTATTTGTGCTTCGTCTTTCATCTTCGTCCTCATCTTTCGTCTTTCGCCTTTTGTTTTCTGTCTCCCTCTTTCGTCCCTCGTTTTCGCCGTTCGTATATGTTGTAGTTTTTCGCCTTCGTCTTTGGCCTTCGCCTTTAGCCTTCGTATTTTCTCTTTATCTTTCGTAATGGAATTTTTTCTTCTTCGTTCGTTCAAGTCATTCGACCTCGTCTACCTTCTTCGCTTTTTGTCCTCTGTTTTTTGACTTCGTCTTTGTCGTTCGTACACGACTTTCGTCTTCGTCTTTTCTTCGTCTTCGTCCTTTTTTTTCATTTTTAGTTCTCCATCGTTTGTCATTTGTCGTTCGTTTATATTTTTCAACTTTTTATATTTTTGAAATTTTTAATATTTTTCGTTTTTTAAACATTTTTTTGAATTTTTTGTTTTTTCGATTTTTTCCCACTTCTTGTGTTTCTGATCTATCGTCGTTTGTATTTCGTCTTTCGTGTTTCGTCGTTCGTCTTTGGTCTTTCGTCTTCGTCTTCGTCTTCGTCTTCGTCTTCGTCTTCGTCTTCTCTTCGTCTTCTCTTCGTCTTCTCTTCGTCTTCGTCTTCGTCTTCGTCTTCGTCTTTCGTCTTTCGTCTTTCGTTTTTTGTCCTCGTCTTTAGTCTTCGTCTTCGCTTCGTCTTCGCTTCGTCTTCATCTTCAACTTTCGTTTTAGTCTTAGTCTTTTCATCGTCTTCGTCCTTGTTTTTCATTTTTCGTCTTTCGTCATGTGACGTTCGTCCTTCGATGTTCTTTGTTATTTCTTCATCGCTCGTCGTTCGCCGTCCGCCGTTCGTGATTCATTTTCATTTTTCGAATTTTTATATTTTTCGTTTTTTCTTCTTTTTAGTGTTTCTGTTCTTTCGTCGTTCGTATTTCGTCGTTCATATACGTTTTTCGTCTTTCGTGGTTCGTGGTTCGTCGTTCGTCGTTCGTCTTTCGTTCTTCGTCTTTCTCTTCTCGTCTTCGTCTACGTCTACGTCTTCGTCTTCTTCTTCGCTTGGTCTTCGTCTTTCTTCTTCGCTTTCGTCTTCGTCTTTCGTATTCGTATTTCGACATCAAATTCGTCGTTCGTTTAATTTTTTCAACTTTTTATATTCTACGAATTTTTAATATTTTTTCCTTTTTTAAAACATTTTTTGAATTCATATATTTGTGTTTTTTTCGGTTTTGTTTTTTTCACTTTTAGTGTTTCTGGTTTTTTGTCGTTCGTATTTCGTCTTTCGTTATTCGTCGTTCTATTTTTGTCTTTATCATTTCTTTTTTTGGCGTTTGTCTGTCGTCATTCATTGTTATTTCGTTTGTCATTATTGTAATATTTTTCGAATTTTTATAGTTTTCGTTTTTTGAATTTTTAAATTTTATTTTTGCCCACTTTTTCTGTCTCTGTTCTTTTGTCGCTCGTCTTTCGTCATTCGTCTTTCGTCGTTCGTCTTCTGTCGATC